GAGAGAGAGAGAGAGAGAGAGAGAGAGAGAGAGTGTGTGTGTGTGTGTGTATGTGTGTGTATTTGGCTATAAGATTCACTTGACAATCACATAAACTTTACCAGAATTGGATAGTTTTATTACTCCTTGTTATTATATGTGTATGATAATTTAACAAGAGACATGATAAAATATTGCATTAAATGCATTAAAAAATATAAGAATTTCAGGAAAAAGATAGTACATAATAATTTTTTTTATATTGATTATGTTATTTTTGTACAGAGAACATGGTCAAGGAACAATTGAAGAATTACGAAATCGAGACTTCAGGAAGGAATTGGAGGAAAGAGAGCGACCAGACAAAGATAAAGTATCAGGCCGTCGTGCAATTGAACCTTCCAGGGAATCAACTACATCCAGTACAAAAAGACAAAAGTTAGATCAAGTTCCTGCTGCCAGCTTAGATGCAGATGATCCACTTGATGATGACGAATCAGATTCTGATAGTGATGAGGATGATACTGCTGCACTTTTGGCTGAACTTCAGAGGATTAAGAAAGAACGAGCAGCAGAACAAGCTAAGAAAGTTAGTATGCCACATTGTAGTGATGGAGCGACGCAGTAACATTGTGACGCCAAATGCATAAAAATATTAAAAAATAGGCTGCTAGATGCATGAACATCACTACATATATGTTGTGCCACTGCTAAGTTCGCGATGCCAAACTAGCTTTATCCAGAGTTTTGACATTGACAAACTTTTGATTAAAATTACTCAGAAACCGAACCGCAATAAAAATCTAACAGCATTATTATAAGATTTATTATATAATATCAGTGCAATTTTCTGATTGCTAGTAGTTCGAATAAAATTGATGCAGTCAATACCAAAATGTTGAGTATCTAAAATGTGTCATTTCAGATTTTTTCAAATACATAGATAAGTATAATGAAAGATAATAATAATTGACTCGTATGATTAAAAAATCTTAGAAAGTTTAAAGCCTAATCGAGTCTTGAAAACAAGATGTTAATGTTTATTATCTTATGTGAATTTATATACTGCGTAATATCACTTAGTTAAATTGAGAATCAATCTAACCAATTTAACGAAGTGATATTACTGCGGTAGTGAATATGTATGCGTCAATGCTGAAAATCTATCAGCGTCGCGGGGGGGGACTACATACGCAGTATATAAATTCACACAATATAATAAACATTAACATCTTGTTTTCAAGACTTGATTAGGCTTTAAACTTTCTAAGATTCATAGATAAATACATTCACATAAAAAGTTTTATCTGTCAAGTTGCTTCGTACAATATTATATTAAAATTAATGAAAATAAAAATGAACATTAATTTAATATGTGTAATATTATAATTATTTATGTACACGAGATAGACAAACAAAGAGAGGGTAAGAGATAAATACATAAGTAAATAGATAGATATACAGATAGAGAAGGTGAGGAAGGGGGGATAGAGAGGCCAGGGTTGACCATTTTAATAACTTTTGATCTATCTTATGTCCTTATATTAATGAAATACTTATTAATTATATTTATTTTGTATACATTTTTGATTAAGAAGAATGTAATATTTGATATTTTATATTTATGATAAGGCTCAATAAGTATTAAACAATTAATATAATGAAATAAGGGCAATGAGCCAATTTTCATTAAAATCTTTAAATCTTTAAATCAATCTAATATATTGCGAAGAATATCACGTAATTATGGCTTTTTGTCCCATTGATATTTTATGCACTTGGAGTATATTTTTCTTATTTTAAAAAGATTCTGGGTTAGAATACTTTCAAGTTTGACTTACTGTTACCATCGCATATCTTTTGTGTCTAAAAAATAAAATATTATTTTGCAGGAAATGGAGAAACGTCAGGAAGAGGAAAGAATACGCATGGAAAATATCCTTTCAGGAAATCCTTTGTTGAATTATTCTTCGCAAAGCGGAAGAGTGGATATGAAAGTAAGAAGAAGATGGGATGATGACGTTGTCTTTAAAAATTGTGCACGTTCCGAACCAAAGAAAACACATGATGTTTTTATTAACGATTCTCTACGAAGCGAATTCCATCGTAAATTTATGGAGAAGTATGTTAAGTAATTGTTAGTTATAAGCATCAGTACTGTAAATAATTTTTTTTATGCATTATTGAATAAAAGTGTAGTTCTTCTCTCTCATTATTTATATCGACTTTATTAATCCTAAACCAACAATTAAGTACAATTAAATTATCTATGTACAATTTCTTGTTGCTGATTTTGAATGCAAGATGATTGTAAAAGAAATACTAATGCATAAATGTTTAGGGAGTTACATCTAGGTGGGTAAAAAAAATCGATTTTTCAATTTTTGTATTTTCTTATTATATGAAATCTTAAGATTATTTTCCTAAAGTTTTAATTCGAAATACACAAAAATAAAAGTTATAGCGTGTTAAAGAAATAAGTGTTACAAGGCTCAAGAGTTCATTCGTTCGTTTACCTGTACCTGTCAGTATATGTTTGAGCAAAGAAAGCAGCTTTGCAAGTAGTGCAAAATTGTTTAATATGATTGATTTATACATTTAGATCTATAAGAAATCAAAAGCAAGAATAAATTCTATTGAATTTTACAACACTTGCTTTCTCTGTTGAACGCAGTCAATATGTCTTTAATCGCTAAAGATTGCTTAAATACATCCGAAACGTTTGATTTTTCAGAGATTGTACAGGATAAAGTAAATATATCTTTACAATAAAATTGCGCATTAATTATAGCTCGTTATTTTCAGTTGCCTTATATATATTTATTATGTCTATTTGTTAAAATATTGAGGGGTCTGTTTTTAAATCGCAGTTTTTTAAAATATATTTTATGTTGCATTAGCGTGCAATATATATATATATATTGCACGCTAACCACGCTGTTCTTTTCATTACTTTCATTTTTCCGTTTTGAGATTTTGTATTTGTCATATTATAACATTTTGAATTTTGAATTTTTAATATTAAATTTGAATTCAACGGACATATCTTTATAATAAATCTTCAAAAGATTTTTTTATTAATTTTTAAATATCGGCATTACTATTATGAACAAAAAATTACTATTATATAATAATACCACGTTAAAATCACATATTTGAGGCAAGGTGAAAATACAACGAATATAATAAATTTCGCTCACGGAAAGTTATAAATTTTAAAGTAAAAATAAGCTTCTCCGCCTTTTAAACATTAAAATAAAAAAGCTTCAATTTCTACATGAGTGTCATTTGAAACCAGGTGAAAATTTTAGTCGGCCGCTATTTTTGTATAGTTAATATTACAGAGCTGAAGTGACTTATTTTTATCTGTATCTTTTTTATCATATATGTAAAGTTACAATTTTTGAAAAAAAAAATAGATTTTTGCACTGTTATCACAAATTGTGAAAAGAGGTGACTAGACCCAGACATGTAAATTATGACTTTAAAATGAGACATGTAGTTGAGGGTTAAATAATGATTTTAAATTTCTTTGTTTTTCTTTAGTACTTTGTTTTATATTTCAGTCAAAGAATCTTTTTAAAAAGTGATTGGAAGAAGTCAAGGAATATTTTTTCTGTTTTATTTTTATTGTGTGATGTAAAAAAATAAGTCATAAAATTAAAAAATAGAAGTCCATTTTTATACCATCGATCTGATCAGTGATCTTCTTTTTATGATCCTTTAATGATTAATATTGACTTTGTTCGGACACCGTTATTTAAAGAGTAAATTAAAAAGTAAGCATATATCCTCGATGGTTTATTTGAATACCGGTTTATGGTTCCGTGAAATTTCATAAATTCCTGATTGTGAATTTTTGCCGATCCACTCCCTCCTCTTTCCCTGTATTGAATCGACGTCTACTCGTCTTACCATTTCTGTGATGAGTCGTGCGCTTTCGAGTCGCGCGCGTTGCGTTGGGTATTGCTTTTCGGTAGCGGACAGAGCGATCCGGTCTCGGACGCAGCGCGCAACGAATCACGCGCTGGGTCAAGTATAACCGGTCCCGGAGGGCCCTGCGGGGCCCCGCGTACGGGCAGCAAGCAGTCTACCGGTGCAGCTGGTTAGCGCGCGCGCCGGTAGACTTCTTGGCACCAACTTGGCACAGACATGGCCTCAACCAACTTGACGCGCCAGCCATCCTACAAAGAGACGACAGCTTGATTGAACAATATATACTCAAAATTATAATATGGATCGACGCGGACGCATTGCTCGGCTAAATATTCAATCGTCCGTAAAAATCGCAAGCATCCCCTGCTTGGAACGACATATAATTTGTTTCAAAATTCACACACAGGAATTTGCATTCAGAAATTTTATTGTTCCATATTACGTTTTATGTAATAAAATATTTAAAATATTTAATTGCAATATTCATACAATATATAAAATTATGCATATATATATATGTATGTGTTTGCTATCATCGCTGTTTTATATCCTTGTTTTATATCTAATAAATGTTATTATAAAAATAGGATGTTACAACAATTTTTCAATCTCTTTTAAAATGTACATCGGGGGGGAGGGGAAAAATTATGTTTGGAGATGGATACATTTGATGAGAATATTACATTAGAAATTTCAGTGGAGTAATTTTCAAGATCTGAAAATATATACGCAGGAAACTAAAATAATAATAACTAATTTGGAAAATGAAAATTTTATTTTGCGAATGGATAATTATCTTTGAGTTCTTTAAATTAGATATTGATATAATTAAATAATTAACTCCAAAATATAATTTTACAGCTGTATATTTTTCCAGAAAAAATTTGTCATTATTCTACTTTTTGTCTTCTATTCGCATAATCTCTAAATAATAGTGTTTTAAATAATTTTCGAAAGCACATATTATGTTGTTCTTACAATGACAAAAGTAAAGATAAAGCGGAAATAAATGTAAACGAAAAAGAAAATTCTCAAATACTATGCACGTCAAGATACAACAATTTATTGAGAAACTTGTAGGTTTCTTCATTTTTTCAGAAATGTTTCTTCCTGTGTAGATAAACATGGTGCAATCGGAAAATTATTCTGAAAATAAATTCTTTTTAATATATCTTTTTTAGAATTGATGCACATCTGATAAGGTAACAATTCGTTTTAAAATATTACCCAGACAATACACAATATGTCCAAAAAAATCATTAAGTTATCCTTTATAGATATCTACAGAAACATACGTTTCAAAAGACATCTTTAGAATGCCTTTGTAACATCGTTTAGATATGCATGTTGTCTGAGTATATCTGATGTTTATACATCAATAGTCTTGGCTATTGTATATTTATCTTATCTATGTCTTTTCAAACATTTCTACAGAAATGCAAAGAATGTATAATATACGATTCGATAAAAATATCACTTCTTAAAAAAATTAGAACCTCGAGATTAATTGCATAACTTTCCTGTGTGAAAAGATGAAGTATATATCCATACTTATGCTGCCAAAATTATATGCACGATCTTTTTGTACTATATCGAACAATGCATAAAATTTATAAATTTTAGTTCACGTAAGATCGAAGGATAAAAATTAAAAATTGGAACATTTTTCCTAACACTGCTTTTCATCTAATTTTGTATTTCAAACTGGTTACTAAAACATTAAAACTTTATGCAACATCACATGAGCCTGTTGCATCTGGCCAAATTTTGTATACTTCAGGAAAATCATTTTTCCGCAGCAATTTAAACATAAAAATAAATAAAAAGGCCGATAAAATATGATATATTTCACACATTTTTTGCGGAACATTTTCGAACATGTGCCTTCAAATTAATCTTCATGTCTTATCTGTGATGTTAACAATATGTTAACTATGTTGAACATATATTAGTTGCACGCATAGAAAAATCTTTTACCTAAGAAAGAAAACAAGTTCTATATCGCAGTGAAAGAAAAAATGAAAGCAATTTAATAGAATTCTAAAAATATATGTTTTACTGATTAAACGCTTAATTTTTGTACAAAATTTGTATAAAATTATTTTTTTCTCTTTTATAAATTCAAAAATCCTTTTCCAAGATTAATATATGTACATTAATACGTGTCTGTAAGATGGAATTTTTATATATATATTGAGAATACTTCGATTGAGATTTTTATTATTATTTCTTTTATTGTTAGTCCAATATGGTGTTGCAGAGTTATCACATCATGAAACGATATTTTCTTAATATAAAAATGCATTATATTTACAAAATTTATTATATTTACAAAATAGTATAGTCCGTAGACTGATAGTTTGCACAAAGAAACAACGTGCAGTTTTTAGAATTGGACTTCTAATTAAATACAATAATAATAAAAGACGTTTAATTAAAATGCTGTATCGTTATACAATTTATGTAGAAGGTGCGTCACCAAAATCCGGACAAATTTAAATTTAAATTTTCCGCTATATTGTGCTTCTGCCAGAGGATGTTGTTGACTTTCCGAGAAAGTCTGAGGACTACGCAGAATAAAAGGAACAGAGAGAACAAAGAATAAAAATTTCAACCTATCAGAAATCATATACTGTGGAATAAACAGTGTGTATTTCATAGTACATGATTTCTGATAAGTTGAAATTCTTATTCTCTGTTCTCTGTTCCTTTTATTCTGCAGCCCTTGATACTTCTAGTAAACCGTCATATTCTCAAAATGGCCGCGATATTGAAATCAAGTGCGGAGTATAATCGAAGAACTGCGATCATCGAAGACCTTCGCGCTAGGCGCTCAGCAACGGAAATAATTCGATTTTTTGAATATCCGAGATTAACCGTTTATGACGTTGTGGCCAAATTTTCGGCTTTAGAACAGTCTAACGGAGGTTCCAGTATGCCAGCGAGGAAGAGTTACTCGAAAGAATACATCACGAGGACCCCCGTCGTTGAAAAGGTTCAAGCGCTAATTTTGGATGACCCAGGGCAATTATTGCGAAAATTAGCATCGATTGTTGGTGTAATAAGCGAGCCAACAATGCGTCGAATTGCCGAGGAGGACCCTCGATACAAATCGTACATTATAAAGATACACGACAGATGCTTTCTGAGACTGCCAGAACAATATCGATATGTTTTGGTCCAAGAAATTCTGGCCTCC